TGGTCAATTTTAGAGAATGTCCCATATTGCACTGAGTATAAGGTATATTCTTTTGTGTTTGGATGAAATGTTCTATAGATGTCTGTTAAACACAATTGGGTCATAACTTCTGTTCGTTCTTTGTTTCTTTGTTAAGTTTCTGTCTGGTGGCCCTGTCTAGTGGTGAGAGTGGGGTGTTGAAATCTCCCACTATAACTATGTGAGGTCTTATATGTAATTTGAGTTTTAGTAATGTTTCCATTACAAATGTGGGTGCCCTTGTATTTGGAGCATAAATGTTCAGAAGTGAAACTTCATCCTGATGGAGTTTTCTTGTGATGAATATGAAATAACCTTCTTCATCTCTTTTGATTGATTTTAGTTTGAATTCTCAATGTTCTATACTAGAATAGCTACACCAACTTGTTTCTTGGATCCATTTGATTGGAAAACCTTATCCCAAAGCTTTACTTAATGCCAGTTGGTGTCACTCTTGTAGACCTGTGAAGATCTCACTAGTGCCAGATCTCTCCTCCACCTTATAATGGCTCCCTGTATTATGGTATCTCTCATCCTTCTCTCCTCCCTTCCTGCTCTTCAGTATCCCCGTCACCCCATCTTTCACCCCTCTCTTTCTCCCATCTCCCTCTCTCCTACCCCTCCTGCTCCCAATCCAATTAGGAAACTCCTATAACCTTTCTCCAGGTTACCATGCATATCATTCTTAGGGTCCTCCCTGCTTCCCAGATGCTCTGATTGTAGGCTGGAAATCCCCTGCTCCATGTCTAAAATCCATATATGAGTGAGTACATACCATGTTTGTCTTTTTGTGACTGGGTTACCTCACTCAGGGTGGTTTCTTCTAGTGCCTTCAATTTGCATGCAAATTTCAAGATTCCATTTTATTTTTTTGCTGAGTGATACTCCAATGTGTAGATTACAACATTTTCTCTATCCACTCTTCAGTTGTGGGGCAGCTAGGTTGCTTCCAGGTTCTGGGTATTACAAATAATGCTGCTATGAACAGAGTTGAGCAGATATCCTTATTGTATGAGTGTACATCTTTTGGGTATATGCCTAAGAGTGTAATTGCTGGATTCTTGTGGTAAACTGATTCCCATTTTCTGAGGAATATCCATATCAATCTCCACAGTGGCTGCACATGTCAGCATTCCCCCCAGCAGTGAAAGAGTGTTCTCCTTTCTCCACATCTACTCCAGCATAAATTGTCATTAGTGATTTTGATTTTAGCCATTCTGATGGGAGTGAGATGGTATCTCAGAGTTGTTTTGATCAGCATTTCCCTGATGGCTAAGAATGTTGAGCATTTTCTCAAGTGTCTCTCAGCCATTTTAGACTCCTCTATTGAGTATTCTCTATTTAGTTCTGTACCCCCATCTTTTAGTAGGATCGTTTGGTGTTTTGGAGACTGGCTTCTTGAGTTCTTTGTAGATTTTAGAGCCTGGTATTGGCACAAAAAACAGACAGGTAGACCATTGGAATCAAATCAAAATCCCTGATATCAACCCACACACCTTTGAACCCCTAATCTTTGACAAAGAATCTAAAACTATACAAAGGAAAAAAGGAAGCATCTTCCACAAATGGTGCTGGAGTAACTGGATGCTGGCATGTAAAAGACAGCAGATACATCCATATCTATCACCATACATAAAACTTAAATCCAAATGGATCAAACACCTTAACATCAACCCAGAAACACTGAAACTCTTGAAGAGAAGGTGGGAAGTACCCTTTATCAAATTGTCAGAGGAGCCGGGCGGTGGTGGCACATGCCTTTAATCCCAGCACTCGGGAGGCATTGGCAGGCGGATCTCTGTGAGTTCGAGGTCAGGCTGGACCTACAGCCTCAAAAACAATACAGAGAAACCCTGTCTCATAAAAACCAAAAAAAATTGGCAGAGGAGACTGCTTCCTGAACATAACACCAGTAGCGCAGACACTGATATCGACAATTAATACATGGGACCTCCTGAAACTGAGAAGTTTCTAAAAGGCAAATATCACAGTCGACAAGATAAAACATCCCACAGAATAGGCAAAGGTATGCCCTAACCCCACACCCCTCAGAGGGCTTTTCTCAACCCTTTACTCTGAGGTAATATCTGTCTTTGAAGTTGAGGTGTGTTTCTTCTGTGCAGCAGAAGAATGGATTCTGTTTCCCTATCCATTCTGTTAGCCTGTGTCTTTCTTATATTGGGCCTTGATTCTCATGTTCTTATAATTCTATAAAAATTGTTACCGATATCTATATTCAGAAGTGTTTTCTGTAAGCTCCTCTTCCTAGAGTCAGGAACTTTATAATGTAATGGCAGTGTTAAAATGATTTGAATAGATTTTCAGGCAGGGTAGAGATATGCAATCTCCTTCTATTCACACACACACACACACACACACACACACACATATATATATATATATGTATATATATGTGCATATATATATTTCATGTAATAGGTTATTTGTTATTTCCAGTATTGTTTTATTACACTTCTGTCATAAAATAGAGCATTTTAAGTTACTTTAAGTAACTTAAAGGAATCCTTTTTTATAAAATATTAGTATTTGATTGCTTTTGGAAAGTTATGTGGTTATTAGTCTTATGTGTCAATATTCATAGCCTATACTCAAATGATATTCTAATTTGAAATTGTTTCCTGTGATAACACAGGTAAATAAAGTAAACACACACACACACAAATATATATATAATTAAATGAGAAGTTAATTTGAGAGATAGCAGCATATGAGTGATTTGGGGGAAAGAGAGTAAAGACTGGAAAGAAAATGATGCAACATTTAAATATAATAAAATTAAAAATTAATCATAATAAAGGCAACAGATCTATTACAAAATTCAGTTTCACCTTTTAAGAAAAATTGTTATGAAAACTGAAAAAATGAGAAAATAATCTTAAAAGAATAAAAGAAAAAGCAATGAGCTAAAAGACCGTATAAATAGCAAGAGATTAAAGTATAGAAGACAAAGAAATCCAGAGAATAAATTCATGCCAAAATATGTGGAAAAACTTATATTCAATAACTTCAGAGAAGAAGAAAATTGAGTACATGCAATATTTGAAAATATAAAATAAAGTGAATCCAAAAGATGTACATTCATATAACAAGGATGTCTGTTCCACTGTATTCTTAGCAGCATTATTCATAATAGCTTGAACCTGGAAGCAACCTAGCTGAGATGCCTCTCAGCTGAAGAGTGAATACAGAAAATGTGGTACATTTACACAATGGAGTATTGTTCAGCAGAAAAAAATAATGGAATTGAAATTTGTAAGCAAATGGACCACACTAGAAGAAACCATCCTGAATGAGGTAACCCAATCACAAAAGCATAAACATGGATTTTAGACAGCGATCAGGGGAGTGCTAGCCTATAATCACACTGCCAGAGAGTCTGGGATATAGAACCTTCAACCAATGACTGATGGAAACAGAGGCAGAGTTTAGATATTTATGGAAATGTTCATTGGTGTATTTCATAAGAATTAAGAAGATTTAGAATTGTTGTTCCCAAAGAATTACATATCTTTTGTGAAATGTTGATATAATATGGAGAAATGGGTACTCATAAATGTTTATGAGTTATAATATATAGTTTCTGTTGAAAGAATGGAGAGTAATTTATTAAAATTGAATTCTAAATGAGTAAGGATTCAAAATGTTTAGCTATCTATAGTCATAATAGACAATAGCACAAGTTCTAAAAAACTGGTTAAAGTCAATACATTTCACATTCTTCACAGAATTAAAGAAGCTTCATGTCATTGTCTGTTGAGTAAGTATTTAATTATTCATATCTGACTGTGTTATTATTATGAAATAAGTTTGTCTTCATTCTACTCTAGTATGTAGGTCATTATGTAGTCATTTGTTAAAAAATTCCTTTATGGGGGGACACTCCTCCATTGCTGGTGGGAGTGCCAACTGGTTCAGCCACTTTGGAAATCAGTGTGGAGATTCCTCAGAAAAATGGGAATAAACCTACCACAAGACCCAGCAACTCCACTCTTAGGCATATATCCAAAAGATGCCCATTCATACAACAAAGATGTCTGTTCCACTATGTTCATAGCAGCTTTATTTGTAATTGCCAGAACATGGAAGCAACCTAGATGTCCCTCACCTGAAGAGTGGATAGAGAAAATGTGGTACATCTACACAATGGAGTACTATTCAGCAGAAAAAAATAATGGAATCATGAGATTCGCAGGCAAATGGATGACACTAGAAGAAACCATCCTGAGTGAGGCAACCCAGTCACAAAAAGAGAAACATGGCATGTACTCTCTCATATATGGATTTTAGACATAGATCTGGGGAGTGCCAGCCTACAATCCTATGGCCAGAGAGTCTGGGAAACAGAAACTTTATTTAGTGGCTGATCGAAGAAGAGGCAGACTCCCTTGGTTAAGTACTGAGCTGAACTCAAGAAAGCCAGTAACAGAGAGGAAGGACTGATGATCAAAGGGATTAAGACTGGGCTGGTTTAACCCCCAGAAACAGCTGACCAGACAAAGGTTAACTCTTGAATCCCAGGCATTAGCCTGAGAAGCCAGCATGGGACTGATCAAGACCCCCTGAATCTGGGTGTCAGTGAAGAGGCCTAGGGAATCTATTGAGCCTTGGGCAGCAGATCAGTACCCATCCCAAGTATACACACGGACTTTGGACTCCCATAGAACAATGTGAGGTGCACTCTCACCCTGAACTCTTGGGGAAGGGTCTAGGCCCTGCCCTATATGAAATGACACACTATGCACACCCCCATGGAGGGCCTCACCCTCCCTGGAGAAATGAGGGGATAAGGGGGGGGGAGGGCACGGGAGGAAGGGAGGGAATGGGAGAGGGACCTGGAACTGACTTGTGAAGCAACCTTGTTTCTTATCTAAATTTAAACTGGAAAATAAAATTAAAAAAAATTCCTTTATGTCAAATTCATATTCATTTTAATAATGTGCTTTCCTTCATAGCAAACATACATGAAGTGTATGCACAAGGGATCAAGGAAACATGTCAATGTCATCAAAAACACGGTGATCAGGGGAGCGGGGGTCTCGTCAGATCCAAGGGCCCGAAACAAGCAGCCGTGAACTCTTAAGAAGCCAGCAGCTCCGGGCTCGGCAGCAGTGGCCCGCCGGCTGGAGCGGGGGTGGGGGGGTGTGGGAGTGGGGGGCGCCGAGCGCGTGCAGGGAGTGGGGTCCTGGTCCTCGGCTCCTGGACTCGGTCGTGCCTCGACAGCGAACATGTCTCAGCCTGTCAGAAATAGGAAGGTCGTTGATTACTCACAGTTTCAGGAATCAGATGATGCAGATGAAGACTATGGAAGAGATTCAGACCCTCCTGCTAAGAAAATTCGGTCATCTCCTCGAGAAGCTAAAAATAAGAGGCGATCTGGAAAGAATTCACAAGAAGACAGTGAAGACTCAGAAGAAAAAGATCTAAAGACTAAAAGGATGATTCTCACTCAGCAGATGACAGTGAAGACGAAAAAGATGATCATAATAATGTATGTCAGCAACGACAGGCAGCATCTAAAGTAGCTTCTAAACAGAGAGAGATCCCCTTAGAAGATGTTGGCAGTGAGGAAGAGCCAGAAGAAGATGATGAGTCACCATTCCAAGAGAAAGATTCTGGCAGCGATGAAGATTTCCTAATGGAAGACGATGATGATAGTGATTATGGCAGTTCAAAAAAGAAAAACAAAAAGATTGTTAAGAAGTCCAAACCTGAGAGAAAAGAAAAGAAAATGCCCAAACCCAGACTAAAGGCTACAGTGACGCCAAGTCCAGTGAAAGGCAAAGGAAAAGTGGGTCGTCTTACAGCTTCAAAGGCATCTAAGGAAAAAGCTCCTTCTCCCAAAGAAGAGGATGAGGAAGCAGAAAGCCCTCCAGAAAAGAAGACCTCTGCAAGCCCCCCACTGGAGAAGTCTGGAGATGAAGGGTCTGAAGATGAAGCTCCATCTGGGGAAGATTAAAAGTGATGTGTGGGGAGAGATTTTATTAAAAAACAAAACAAAAAACAAAAAGGAAACCTATGTAGGACACGGTTTGGGCTGTGGCTTGACTCATGGGCTTTCAGTGCTATTTCATTTGTCTGAAATAATGTTTCCATCTATCTCTATCTCTCACTCTCAAAACCATTGTATGTTGAAAGGGTTAAGTTGCCATTTTGTCTAATGGTCTTGTTTCTTTGCCAACCCCTCTTCCTCCTCCTGATGAAAGCCATGTCAATTAATCACTGGGTTGACTGCTTCGCCTTCGTATTTTTAATGGAAGTTAGGAATCCCTCGGCTGTAAAGCAATAAGATTTGAGATGGACTCTATGGAAATTTTGCTTTTTGCTAAAGAATAGCAACTTTAACAGTAATCAAAAAAACTAGAAAGGTTTTAGTTAAAAATTATTTTTCTTTTCCTGGGCTTTTGACAGACCAGTTGTTATTTAACATGAGCTTATATGTCTAAAGTGTAAATGTCAAAAAGAATCATGACTCTAAACTTAACACTGATGAGGCAGTTGGGAGGTGAACATGAATTCTGGGTTCTTAACTCAGTACTCACATTATCCCTTGAGTGTGGAAGGAATCGTGGAGCTTGTCTGGAAATGTGGGCTTTCTTTTTTTTCTGGTTTTTCAAGACAGGGTTTCTCTGTATTGTTTTGGAGGCTGTCCTGGAACTCACTCTGTAGACCAGGCTGGCCTAGAACTCACAGAGATCTGCCTGCCTCTGCCTCCTGAGTGCTGGAATTAAAGGCGTGCGCCACCAACACCCGGCTGGGCTTTCTTATTTAATACTTTCAATTTTAGCCTTTTTTTATTTTTAAGTTTCTTTATTAATCTGCACTAATATCTCTTATTTTATCTAGCTATAGTAGAGAAATATTACTGTCTTGTAGGTTGCTTGTGTCTGGGTGGGCTTCTTGTTTAGAGGCCCCTTTAAAACTGACTCATTAGGTTGAAAAGTCTATTTTTTAATTACAGGCTGCTTAGGTTGATTGGTGTCTTAAGTGAGCACATAGGCTCCAAATGTCCTTTGCTTTCATGTTTTTTTTAGTTGTTTATAACACTGGCCTTCCTTAAAATCATGCATGCAAATAGGAAGACATTTAATGTGACTCAACTGGAAACAGATGCTTAGCAGTTAGGTCACAGCTCATAATGACTGGCCCTTGGCACCTCCGTGGCTTACTGTCCGTCCTCTTACTTTTTCCCCTGTGTGCCTATAGTAAGGTGGCAATGTTTTCACTGTCTTGCTTTGCAGTGCTCAGGAAATGGGATGTTCTTTTGAAGGTGCTTGTCTGTTATCTAATCTCTGCTAGGGTTACCTCTGTCAGAGTGCAGCAGCTCTGCTGACTAACACTACATTCTAGTTCTTGAGGCTCTTTTAAAACCTTTCTGTCCCCCAGCCAGAAATGGTAGCCTCTGTCTCACCCAGTGGTAACTTACTGCTGCTTTTAACCCTCCACCCCAAATGGGGTTTGGAGAGGAAACCCAAAGGATATATTTTAAATACCTCCCACTCAGAATTAACCCTACAAAGAAAAAACTGATAGATGTTTCTTCTAGAGTGGTAAGAGAATTCCCCCACAAAAGCCTTTTCTTTAAAAAAACAACACACTTTTTGTGTACCCCGAGCTGCCTCAATTAAACCCCTGCTTGTTTTTTGTTTTGTTTTTTTAACAACTTTTATTTCATTCTTAAATATTTTTGTTTGGTATTAGTTCAAATAGCATTTTCTTCCAGATAGCAAATCAGCAATGAAATTTGAAGTTCTAATCTAGTATGATTTTTGATGGATAGTCATCTGAACTTGACTTTCTTTTTAACATGGTTTTACTATGTAGCCTGGCTGAGAATCCCCCTTCCCCCTTCACTCTTAACACTGCTGGGAATTATATCACCATGGCAGGTGACACTTTCTGAAGATAGGTTTTTTTATTTTTATGACCATGAACATGCAGGTGACAAGTGGCCTTTAGGAGGGGAGTAGTGTAAACGAACTCAGGTTTAGGGGGGTTGCAAGAGCAGAATTTAGAAGCAACAGAAAGCCTTGTTGTTGTGGAATGAGTGCCTGTCAAAACAGTTCTCTTTACCTGTAGCACTGGAGGCTACTAAACATTCCTTCCTGGGAATGGGTAAAAAGTTCAAGGTGGGCTCTTCATGGTATGTAGATGGAGGTCACAGACAAGCAGTGCATACTTCCTGCCAAAGAGGAAGTGAAAGCCACTGGTTGCTCTTAAGGGTGAGGTATTGTCATTTTCTCTCTGGGGGAAGCTGCTGAGTTACTTGAAGATGGGGAGTTTACAGTTTATTGTTTTTGAGTATTGAGATGTCAAGCTGTCAATAGCTATGTTCCTATTTCAACCTAATTTTTCTTTAGAGAACAAAATATATGATTCTGAATATCAAATCCATGAATTGTAGTTTTGTTTAAAGCCTAATTCACAGTGGTGCTGACTGTAATAACCACTATTGGGCAGATGGTGTCCCCATATTCCTGCCTGTTGCCATGCCAATGAGTAACTGAAACGGTAACATCTCTTTGAGCATGCTCTATATGGCTGTAAAGCACCACAGTTGTGCAGACAAGACACTTTGTATATCAGGTGAGGGGGGGTTTTCTAGATTTTGGGGGAGGGTAAATTGGGTTTTTTTTCATTTTTTCTTGGTGAGTTGGGGAGCATAGTATTCAGTCACGCCCTAAAAATATCATGTATAAAACCTGAAGAGTGTGGGTGTGGATATGTGTGAGTGCATGTTTGTAAATGTCTGACAATTAAAACTTTGTCTTCTGGAAGTTAGTGATTTTTTTCCTTTTTCTTGTGGAAGTATTTGTTACAAGATTTGTAAGTAAGAGCTCTACATGGTCCGTTTACCATGAACATGTTGCAGCAAACCTTACATGCTTAATTCCTGCGAGGCATGACTTGCCAGGTTACGCGGCAGCAGCCACAATCTCAATAATTGTTGGCCTTGATTAATCTTTTAGTCTTCATTTGCCAGTTCTATAAGCTCCAGTCTTCCTCAAGTTTAGTCCTTAATCTTTCATATTCTGAGCAGGAGAGGTCAGAGAGCTAACCTAACTGTATCTTAGGCTATGGGCTGAGATCCAGGCACCCTTTTTTTCATTTTGCAGTGTGGCTAGACACATGATCGGGCATCAGAGGGTTGGGCATTCTTGCAATACCTTAGCAGTGCTGAAACATACAGCATGGTACTAAGGAAGTTAAAAGTTTGAATGTAACCACTTTATTTAAAGTTTCTTCTTTAAATGAAACCAAGTTGAAGTGAACATGATTTTGTTGACCATGTTTGTGAATTTTAGATGCAACATGCATTGGTAGAATCTTGTGAAGGTCTAATGTGATACTTCATTTTTACATATCCCAGTTGTATGTATCTACATAAACAAAAGAAACTCCTGCTTTGCTCTGATTGGAGGATTTTCCAGGACTGCTGTCTTCTGAACTTTGTTTTAAGTATGTGTATCCTTTGCTTGTATTTTGTATATAAAAAAGTAAAGAAAAAACCCCTTATTGTTGAGCATGTTGGCATTGTCCCCCTTATTTTTTTTTCTCTTTTTGGGGGCATATGAAACAAGTTATTCTTTTCTGTACCTTTTCTTTTCTTTTGTAAAACTTTTGGTTTGTTTTGTTTTAAATGGCTTTATAAAAGGGCTTTTGTAACCCCCCCAAAAAAACACAGTGATAATATAAAAACTTTTGGTGCTATAAAGGCAAAATTATGCAATGTTAAACAGATGAAGAATAGATACATATCTCATTTATCTTTTTTTTAGTATTATTTGAGAGATAGAATGAATATTTATGGAAATCAGCATTCTAACTAGAGAAATATGTACAGATGATAAAATAAAGATGGATTTATTAATAAATGAATTCTATAAATATAAATCTTAAAGTGTTATATTATTTCTGTCTGTCAATTGTACAGGCCCTAAACAAACTTGAATGCATCTATATAATTTAGAAAATATGGGCTAAGCATTATAATAAACTTTTCCTCTAGAATGTGCTTTGTGTCTGATAATTAAACACATTCCTATGTGGTCTGAACAAAATAATATAGCACTTGAGGACAAAGATACAAACTCATAGTACTGAACTGAAGGATGGGATGGAGAAGATTTCCATGGCAAATGTGATTTTCTCCATGATTCTGTGATAGACATGAAGGAATGTGACCTGCACACTAAAGAAATCTTGCATGCTGAAGGATACAACCTTGACTTCAGTGAATATTTCAGGTAAGTTCCTGGACAGGTATGCAGAGCTATCCCAGGACAGAGTAGAAGGCAATGGTTGAGCAGTTGCTGCATATAATAATCATGTGTTCATGTTCTGAGTAAGCATCTGAGTCAACAAAGGGAAGAGTGGTGCTCAGCCAAATTCCACAGAACACAACTTGGATAAGTGTCCAGATAGGAAGGATGAAGTTAGGAGCCTTTGATATAATTATCTGCCTCATCAGTATCTCTGGAACTGTGATCTTGAAAGACAGAATCACAGCAAATTTTTGGCAAAGACTATAGAGAGATTCAACCAGAAAAGAATTGTAAATGTTCTTTACTGCAGGATACAAGTGGCTATGTTATGATGGGCAATGAAGAGCAAGAGACTGAGAAAGCAGAAAGTCAGAGTGATGAGCAGGATGTAAGTGAGACTCCGATTGTTTGCCTTGACAATGGGAGTGTGGTGGTACTTCACAAAGACACCAAGGACAACAGCTGTGAGTACAGAGAAGCCCAGGGACAAGGAGGTGAATGCCATCCCCAAATTGTCTTCTTAGCCCAGAAAGGTCACAACTTTCTGGAGGCAGTGGTTTGCATATTTACTTTCTGAAAACCTCACAATGATTCATATTTGCTCAGGAAATAGAGTTCTTATCAGATTCTGCTCTGGTTTTTCTATTATCACAAACCTCTTCCCAGCACCAGGTCTCTAGCATTTGATAACATTTTCTTGTTTGTTTCAGACTCAAGTAAATCAGTGCTCAG